ACCAGAACTTCACAGAAATTGTTCAAACTGACCAAAAATTTGTGCAAATGATCTTAAATCAATAAAACATGACAAAAATTTGTTAAACATTATTTCAAAGATACAGTGAATTTAAGAAGCAACCTGGTGCAAAAGTAGCTACCATTTAATATTTTTGACTGCTAATCTACCAGAACTTCACAGAAATTGTTCAAACTGACCAAAAATTTGTGCAAATGATCTTAAATCAATAAAACACGACAAAAAATTTGTTTAACATTATTTCAAAGATACAGTGAATTTATGAAGCAACCTAGTGCAAAAGTAGCTACTATTTAATATTTTTGACTGCTAATCTACCAGAACTTCACAGAAATTGTTCAAACTGACCAAAAATTTGTGCAAATGATCTTAAATCAATAAAACATGACAAAAAATTTGTTTAACATTATTTCAAAGATACAATGAATTTATGAAGCAACCTAGTGCAAAAGTAGCTACTATTTAATATTTTTGACTGCTAATCTACCAGAACTTCACAGAAATTGTTCAAACTGACCGAAAATTTGTGCAAATGATCTTAAATCAATAAAACACGACAAAAAATTGTTAAACATTATTTCAAAGATACAGCGAATTTATGAAGCAACCTAGTGCAAAAGTAGCTACTTTTTAACATTTTCGGCTACAAATCTGCCAGAACTTCACAGAAATCGCTCAAACTGACAAAGCAACTTGTGCAAATGATTTTAAATCAATAAAACATGACAAAAAATTTGTTTAACATTATTTCAAAGATACAGCGAATTTATGAAGCAACCTAGTGCAAAAGTAGCTACTATTTAATATTTTCGACTTGAAATCTACCAGAACTTCACAGAAATTGTTCAAACTGACCAAAAATTTGTGCAAATGATCTTAAATCAATAAAACATGACAAAAAATTTGTTTACCATTATTTCAAAGATACAGCGAATTTATGATGCAACCAAGTGCAAAAGTAGCTACTATTTAATATTTTTGACTGCTAATCTACCAGAACTTCACAGAAATTGTTCAAACTGACCAAAAATTTGTGCAAATGATCTTAAATCAATAAAACATGACAAAAAATTTGTTTAACATTATTTCAAAGATACAATGAATTTATGATGCAACCTAGTGCAAAAGTAGCTACTATTTAATATTTTTGACTGCAAATCTGCCAGAACTTCACAGAAATTGCTCAAAGTGACCAAAAATTTGTGCAAATGATCTTAAATCAATAAAACACGACAAAAAATTGTTAAACATTATTTCAAAGATACAGCGAATTTATGATGCAACCTAGTGCAAAAGTAGCTACGATTTAACATTTTCGACTTGAAATCTACCAGAACTTCACAGAAATTGTTCAAACTGACCAAAAATTTGTGCAAATGATCTTAAATCAATAAAACATGACAAAAAATTTGTTTACCATTATTTCAAAGATACAGCGAATTTATGATGCAACCAAGTGCAAAAGTAGCTACTATTTAATATTTTTGACTGCTAATCTACCAGAACTTCACAGAAATTGTTCAAACTGACCAAAAATTTGTGCAAATGATCTTAAATCAATAAAACATGACAAAAAATTTGTTTAACATTATTTCAAAGATACAATGAATTTATGATGCAACCTAGTGCAAAAGTAGCTACTATTTAATATTTTTGACTGCAAATCTGCCAGAACTTCACAGAAATTGCTCAAAGTGACAAAGCAATTTGTGTGAATGTTCTTAAATCAATAAAACATGACAAAAATTTGTTTAACATTATTTCAAAGATACAGCGAATTTATGAAGCAACCTGGTGCAAAAGTAGCTACTATTTAATATTTTTGACTGCTAATCTACCAGAACTTCACAGAAATTGTTCAAACTGACCAAAAATTTGTGCAAATGATCTTAAATCAATAAAACATGACAAAAAATTTGTTTAACATTATTTCAAAGATACAGTGAATTTATGAAGCAACCTAGTGCAAAAGTAGCTACTTTTTAACATTTTCGACTACAAATCTGCCAGAACTTCACAGAAATCGCTCAAACTGACAAAGCAATTTGTGCAAATGATTTTAAATCAATAAAATATGACAAAAAATTTGTTTAACATTATTTCAAAGATACAGCGAATTTATGAAGCAACCTGGTGCAAAAGTAGCTACTATTTAATATTTTTGACTGCTAATCTACCAGAACTTCACAGAAATTGTTCAAACTGACCAAAAATTTGTGCAAATGATCTTAAATCAATAAAACATGACAAAAAATTTGTTTAACATTATTTCAAAGATACAGTGAATTTATGATGCAATTTAGTGCAAAAGTTGCTACTTTTTAACATTTTCGACTACAAATCTGCCAGAACTTCACAGAAATTGCTGAAACTGACAAACAAGGCGTGGACACTGGGATTAATCCCAATAATTCTTAATAATCTCAAATAATCCCAATAATCCTGAATAATCCCAGTGTATTTATGAGTGTCTACGCCTTGGCTTTTTTCAAAAAAATATCGATTTTATTTTTAAATTAGCATTCTTTATCATTTTTAATACCTAGATTTGTTTAAAAATGCAATTTAAAGCATTTTTTGGTTTTGATCATAGTAGGCTATTTTCAAAAAATTTCGATTTTATATCTATATTAGCATTCTTAATCATTTGTAATACCTAGATTTGTTTAAAAATGCAATTTAAAGCATTTTTGGTTTTGATCATAGTCGGCTATTTTCAAAAAAATTTCGATTTTATATCTATATTAGCATTCTTAATCATTTGTAATACCTAGATTTGTTTAAAAATGAATTTTAAAGCATTTTTGGTTTTGATCATAGTAGGCTATTTTCAAAAAATTTCGATTTTATATCTATATTAGCATTTGTTATCATTTAAAATACCTAGATATGTTTTAAAATGCAATATAAAGCATTTTTGGTTTTAATCAAAGTAGTCTATTTTCAAAAAAAAAAACGATTTTAGATTTATATTAGCATTTTTTATCATTTATAGTAAATAATAAATTTATAATACCTTGATGGGTTAATGTCATTTAAAGAGAGTAGTCATTTCAGTCTCTATTGGGTCTGAATGATCAGATTTGTTTTAGAATTTTATTGATTGTTATTTCATATTGAAACATATTTGAGACAAAATACATTCCTTTTAAATAGTTTTGATGGATGAATTCTTGATTTTGTAATTGTTGAATTTCAGCTTGCTTAAAGCGGATCCGATATAAGCAGACTGCCAAAAAATTTTTAAGTTCAAGCTTTGGAAAAATTATTTTTTGCCAAAATTATTATTATTATTATTATTATTATTATTATATTCACACCGTTTTCACGTGTGAATCTATTGGTTTTGTTCAGATTGAAAAATCAGTTTTTCGCATTTTGTGAGAAAACAAAGCAAAATTGGTTATAAAAGGGCAAGAAGAAAAGTTTGTGCCTGAAATTTTACATCATTTTCAAAAAACAGATTTCAAATTGGTTGTGGCATTGCTGAGAAAATCGCAAAATACGCTTTCTGTAAGCAAACAAGCAAGCAAGCAAGCAAGTTAATCAGCAAGAAATCTCAATAACGAGACATCGTAGAGACTTCTAGTTTTTTACATTTGATCTGTGCTGCTCTATAGAAGAGCTGTATTGTTTTTGGGCAAGGTAGGAACAGCCGTTGCTTCAGAAATGGCAAAAAACTTTCCTTTCTTACGAATTTTTTAAAACAAAAGTTGACTGTGATTTTTATAAAATTCAACTTTGGATGAAAATTTTTTTTTAAAAACTTTTAAAGAATATTTGGCATATTCGTCAAGCTTTATACCTTCAAACTTATGCTGAGCGTAGCTCAGGTGACTCGATAGCTTTATATCTTGAAACTTATGCTGAGCGTAGCTCAGCTTACGCGATAGCTTTATAACTTCAACTTATGCTGAGCGAAGCTCCACTGCCTCTCTAGCTTCATATCTTCAAACTTATGCTGAGCGTAGCTCAGCTTACTCGATAGCTTTATAACTTCAAACTTATGCTGAGCGAAGCTCAGCTGCCTCTCTAGCTTCATATCTTCAAACTTATGCTGAGCGTAGCTCAGCTTACGCGATAGCTTTATAACTTCAAACTTATGCTGAGCGAAGCTCAGCTGCCTCTCTAGCTTCATATCTTCAAACTTATGCTGAGCGTAGCTCAGCTGACACTCTAGCTTTATAATTTCAAACTTATGCTGAGCGTAGCTCAGCTTACGCGATAGCTTTATAACTTCAAACTTATGCTGAGCGAAGCTTAGCTGCCTCTCTAGCTTCATATCTTCAAACTAATGCTGAGCGTAGCTCAGCTTACGCGATAGCTTTATAACTTCAAACTTATGCTGAGCGAAGCTTAGTTGACTTATCAAGCTTCATACCTTCATACTTATGATGGGCAAATCTTGGTCTATCCATAAGACTTATGATAGTACTGTGTGAATATAATCCGCATTGGGTTTCTACCCGATACACTAGTTTATTATTATGTTTGTTTGACTTATTAAATTAAGTCTTTTGAGTAGGTTTTACATGTTCTCGTTTCAACCATCTTATAGTTTTTGACCTTAGCTTTGTATATTAAGTAGTTATAAATAGCTTTAGCAAGTAAATAGTGCAAAAACACCAATTTATTCAAAAAAAATTAACAGACATCAAGTTCTAAAATAAGGATTTCTAACGGTTCTTATTTCAGAACTAATTCAAATATCGGTTTTAACGTATTTATCAAGAGGTATTGGTTTTTTACTATAAATAAGCATTTTTAAGTTTCTGAAAAGCTTGAATATTGCATTGCCATTGGAATGAAAAGTGCTTGATAAATTTCAGTTCGATTGGAGCAGTAGAAGTGATCGAAACATTGATCACAAAATTTGACCTCGACAGACAAAAAGAAAACGTGGTAATAAGAAAGCAAGTTTAAAAAACGTGATAAAAACAAACGGTTTCTTATTTTTTGAATTTTTACAATTCCATTAATTTTTGTAAAAATTCAACACAAAAACATTGATTCAGAGTGAATTAAATTTTTCCGATTAAATACTATAATTAAATATTCGGGATAGCACTTAAAAAGAAAGCTAAGACATCATGAGTACGATTTTGGAAAAGATTTCAGCCATCGAGTCAGAAGTAAGGAATAAATAAAGAAAATATTTTTCCACATTTTAAGAAATTTCGATAACCAAATTTGATTGATATGTAGACCAAAAAAATAATTCCTGCTTCTTAATTCGCCATTAAGATTGTAGGCATAGCTCAAAAAGCATACCCGTCTCATATTAGTTATTAAGAGATCTACGGAGATCATGTTGTTTTACAAGCTAATGAATAAAATTGTCTTTTTAGATGGCAAGAACGCAGAAAAATAAAGCAACCGCTGGACATTTGGGTCTATTAAAGGCTAAATTAGCTAAGTTACGAAGAGAGTTAATTACACCGAAAGGAGGCACCGGGTTAGTGCTATGTTCATTCATTTGGTTGAATAATTGATAGCGTAATATTTTTAGTGGAACCGGTGAAGCTGGATTTGAGGTAGCAAAAACTGGAGATGCTCGAGTTGGATTTGTAGGGTTTCCTTCTGTTGGAAAAAGTACTCTTCTGAGTAATTTAGCGGGTGTATACTCTGAAGTTGCTGCATACGAGTTTACGACTTTAACGACAGTTCCAGGATGTATTAAATATAAAGGTGCAAAAATTCAATTATTGGATCTACCTGGAATTATTGAGGGTGCCAAGGATGGAAAAGGTAGAGGTCGTCAAGTTATTGCTGTCGCTAGAACCTGTAATTTGATTTTTATGGTACTGGATGTTTTAAAGCCTTTACATCACAAAAAGTTATTGGAGCATGAATTAGAAGGATTTGGTCTTCGTTTAAACAGTAAGCAGCTTAACTTAATGTTAGTTTAATGGTATTAACTGTCTCTCCTTATTTAATTTTTAGAGCAGCCACCAAACATATACTATAAGAGAAAAGATAAGGGTGGAATTAATATGAATTGTACAGTTGCACAGACCGAATTAGATCTTGACACTGTCAAAACCATCCTCAGTGAATATCGTATCCACAACGCAGACATAACTTTAAAATATGATGCTACTGCTGATGATTTAATTGACGTGGTTGAAGGCAATAGAATTTATGTTCCATGCATTTATCTACTCAATAAAATCGATCAGATCAGTATTGAGGAACTGGACATCATTTATAAAATTCCTCATTGTATTCCAATTTCTGCTCATCATCATTGGAACTTTGATGACTTGTTAGAAATGATGTGGGAATATCTTTCCCTTTTGAGAATGTAATTATTCGTAATGCAAAAAAAAGATAAAAATATTAATTTTTAAATAATTGTCTTTTGCAGCTATACTAAACCAAAAGGACAGTTGCCAGATTATTCGTCACCAGTAGTCTTGAATCGTGGACGAACATCAATTGATGATTTCTGCAATAAAATTCATCGTTCTATCATCAAAGAGTTTAAATATGCCTTAGTATGGGGTTCATCTGTGAAACATCAGCCACAAAAAGTAGGAACAGAGCATATTTTGAACGATGAAGATGTTGTTCAAATTGTAAAGAAAGTTTAAAATTGTTTTGATTTATTTTATACAATAAAGCTTAATAAAATAAAATATAAACTAAACTATGTTTTTGTTTGGTAATTGTTTAATTATAGCACAATTATTATTTATTTGGGTTTCATAGGTTAATATACCATAAAATTAATTAAAAACCTCGTAAAATTGGAATCATGATGATGAAATAGTTACATATATTGGATTTTCAACTAAATTTAATGTTTTTCCGACCTACTTGCTAAATAAAGTTTCATAAATAACACAAACCACCGAAATTAAATTGAAATAAAAATTAAATCTTTAGCGAAAATGATTATATTTGGGGGGAGAAAAATAAAAAGATTCAAAACAGGAAATGCTAATTGATTCAATTTGTTTTTATATCTAAATTTCCAAATGCTGCTTCCAATGCACTAACGCCTGTTAAATTTGATGATTTGCCTGTTGACTTTTCAGTAATTTCGGATATTTTTTGCAAGGCCCACGAAGCAAGTTTCTGGGCTTCTTTCCTTTTCGCTATTTGGGCTTTTGATAATGCAATGTGATTACAACACTAGAATTAAACAAAACTTAAATTAAGAAGAATCAATGACTAGCAATGATTTCAATTGATATCTCACCAAATAAAGCCCATATAATGCACGTAAATTATTTCCGTTTAATTTTATAGCTTGAGCATAGTAAGATTTTGCAATCTCAATATTGTCCTGTCCGCCAATCGTGTACCGGATATCTCCAAGACGTTGGTGAATTAAATGGCTGTATGGATTGTGAAGTAAAACTTCTTCCATACAAAAAGCTGCTTTGTTATAATCTCCTTCCATTAGATATAAATTACAAAGCTCGTGCCAAGCTTCTTGGTCTGACATGAACCTACAATAAGCATTATTTTATGAATTTTGGAGTTAAAGATATATACATATATATAAAAAAATACAAACTTCTTTAAATAGTCGCACATTTCCTTTATAGCATCTCCAATTTGTCCTTTAGCTTTTAAAATTGCTACTTTGCGCTTCCGTGGTCCTGCATTCGTCTCATCTCGTTTTATAATGCTTTCCAATACGTCTAAAGCATCATCATATCGTTCTAAGGCCTCCAAAAGCTGTAGAATTAAAAATTTAACATAAAATTTCTTTGAAACAATGACTTGCTTCCTCGTTTACCATAGATTTGAGCTTCATGATCCTTAAACTTTCTGGAAACTCTGAAATCAAAACACGAATACAGTCTTCAGCTAGTTTAATGCGTCCACAATCTAGAGAAGCTATAAAAACTTGTTCCAATATTATCAGTTTTTCATTGCCTAGTTTCTTTACTTTATCAGCAAGACAGTACTCGAAAACTTGAACCACCTCATCTATAAATATTTATTTTTATAACATTAATTTTTTTTATTAATAAATAATAATAATTTTAAACATGCCACTTTTCCTCTCATTGTCATCTCTCCATTTACGAAGAACATCTCTTGCCTCTGAAATTTCAATTGATCAATTAAATTAAAAGAAAAATAAGTCAATAAACATGACTTTCATGAAAAGTGAATTATCAATGATTTTAATGACGTCTAATGTATTAATCAACATTTTATTACTTACCGGAAAAACTTAAATCTTCGTTCATCATTGAGAATTAAAAATATATTGTAGTATTATTAACAAGAATTGAAAACTATCAAAAAACTGATTTTATTCTTTTTCGAAGGGATCGTTTACTTATTCAGTAACATAAAAAAATAATTCGTATTGGCACAAAAACTAAGCCCCCCATATCCTCTTGAAAGACGTTTGTTACGTAACTAATGAATGAATCAAATAAATTCGACGAATTTTTCGACTATTAGCTCAAATTTGCTCAATTCAAAAATTATAGTGATAAAAAAATAACGGAAAATTAATAAGCCACATGTTTGATTTTAAGATTAGAAAACTTTTCATATTATTCAAAAACCTAGTTTAATTGAGCAAAGAGCATTTATTATTAATTTATTTTAAATAAATAGGTCTATTACAACTTTTTTATTACCTTTTTAATATTACACATAGCTAAAACCTGCCAAATAACAATAGTAAAACATTACTATTACCATATTACAAAGTTGTTTTTATCTTTTAAGCGATTAATAAAATGGATTTTAAAGATCTTATTTAAGGGTTGTTTCTTTTATTAAAGATAAAATATTTGAAATCCACCACCCATATGTCAAAAAAATTTCACCAATTTTATTAATGTTGAGAGCAATTTTTAACTGTCAAAAACCTCAGACTATATATTTTCCTATCATTGCAATGATCAAACGTTACTTTTTATTATAAAAATCAAAGTTTAGCAAAAAACCTGCTGTGAATACCTTTTTATGCTTCTGTATTTTAATCCGATTAATCTCATTTTGTGAAAATAATATTTTCTGCTTACTTATTCTCAGTCTTTACAACATCAATAAGATGAACCGATTGCTTGCCGTAATTTACTCAATTCATATTTTCTGCAACAATGAGTTTCAAAAGCAAGAAAGATGAAATATGGAGAAAATTAAGATTATTTAAAGTTTATTATCGATCGCATTGCATCAAATATCTATTTAAGATCAATGGTGGTCTCATAATTAATTTATCAAAATTTAACTGTTATTAAAGTCCGGAAAGTCGCTAAGGACCAAGACTATTTAATTGTTTTTTTTTTTTTTTGCAATGTAAAGATTTAAGTCCGTTCAAGTGCAAATAAAAATTTAAAGACTTATCCTTTAATCTCATGCTTGTTTTCTTTTATAATAGTAGAAAATTTGCTTCAAATATTTCTTTTTATTTTTCATGAAATCGTCTTAGCAGATAAATGTAAAAGTTTTTTTTTGAATTGAAACTCTTACTTCTTTTACTTAAATCGATTTGCATTGATGAGTGAGTGAGTGCAAAGGAAGAAAGATGCCGAATGAACCATGATCTCTTATTGTTTGGTGAATTGCACAATAGAATTAAAGGACAGAACATATATAAACATTGTCAAATGGAACAAAAGGCAGATCCATTAAGTATACTCTTATTGTACCATTCTTTCATCTTACAAAATAGAAGATGAGTAGCGCATTAGGAGGTGCTAGTTGATTTTAGATTTTTGAATATTCAAAAGGACTTAATCACGATGCAAATGTAGCTTTTGTGTCAACAATCCTTAACAAAATGTCATTTTTGAAGTGCACACATGAAAATATTTGCCGACAAACATGCCTAATTCCCTCAACTCCTGATAATAATCACAATTATTCCTGTAATGGAAATAAGGATGATGAATAAGTTATAAAAGATGTACATAAATGTGTAAAGAAAAATGGAACATCGTTTAAGAAACTCCTTCAATTTATCCACTTCACTGATTAGCTTTTAAGAAAATGATTTCTTTTCTCAACATCTTTTAAGCATACCGGACATAACTCAAATAAATTGTTAATGAAACAAAAAACAGTGTTTCGCTGTACATCAAACCCTTTTTTGAAAGGAGTAGTAAATAATTGGAATGGGTAGAATCCAATAAATTTTCATCATTTAATTCTTAATTACTCGTTCGTAATCTGAATAAATGCATCTATATGATAATTCTCATTCTCCATTTATTGCAATAAAATGCTATTGTTGAAAATACAATTTATTCAATGCATCGAAATAATTAATATTGAGCGTTGAATATGCAGACTCTAATTATTAAGTTTTTATATTTGATTTTCGTGTGAAGCATCCTCAGAAATAAAGAAATTAGCAGAATAAATTTTCCATCTGAAAACGAAAGGAATATGAACAATGAAAAACCTTGTACAAAAGTGCACAATATGATGGCAAAAGAATAAAAAAAACTTTCCTTTTAATGTTCCTCCTTTTATTTCGCTCTATAAAGAAATTGTAACAACAAGAAAGAAGGTATATTCTCAATAAATAAACCGAGTACAGTAAAAAACTAATCTGAAACTGTTGTATACTTAGCTTGATAGAGATGAAATGAAAGAGAATCCCGCAACAATAAAGCGAGGAAGATTTTTCCTATTATTGTGTCTTCTTGCAATTTGTTCGCAAACAACCTGAAGCCAAAGATGAGAAAATGAATGGCAGAGAATGAGTGAGATATAAAATTGGTTCATGATGGCAATATGTTGTATGCTCATTTTTATTTTATTGCGTTCAATGACTTTCGAATGAGAATTCATGTTGTGGAAAGAATAGAAACATGAAGAAGAAAGAAATGGAAAATTCTGTTCATTCGTGAGTGAGTTATGATGAACATAAAAAAATAGATAGCAAATCCTTCCAGCTATATTGCATGACTCAATTCCGTTTCCTACTTTCATATACTGTGCTTCGTGTATTATCATCATATTATAATAAAAAAGTTATTTGAAGCAATTTGTAGTATATTTCCGACATTATTGTGACATTATTTGTTCCTACTCGTTGGTTCATTCTCAACTGCGATAAATCGATTTTAATTCTGATCCATGTCATAAGCCAATGAAAAATATAATCATCTCCAAGAAATTGTAAGAGACTCAATAAGTAAGTTCAATAAATTAAAAACTTGAAATTTAAGTTGATTGATCAATAAATTACTTCAGTTACTTTGTGCCACTTACGTTCATTTCTAATTTTCCCAAAGCGTTCGCCCTTTTTAATGGTTTGGAAGATTCAAGAAAATGAAAGCGAGGAGGAAGGAAAAACTACAGAAAACACTCAGCAAGAGAAAATGATTCGCAATTTAATGGCTTTTTATTATCATTCACTCTGCTTGTGCTGTTATTGTTATTCTTCCTTTGCGCAATAAAGGCATCAGAAGTGTAAATTAAATGGTTGATGGAAAAAAGCAATTAAGCTTAAAATATATGCTGTGGAATTAGTACATTCATATACAAAACAAGGGAAAACATTTCCACAATAATTTGCTACAGAGAAAAGGAACGGAATGAACGATGTAAGAGGGGAAATGCAATTCAGAGGACACGCCTCGAAAAAAAAGCTATACAAATATAAAGACACTAATACAATCATGAGCTTATTTTTTAACTAAGCATGTAGCAATTTTTTTTGTAGCAAGAAATAAAAAGCAAAGTAATTGAAATGAAGTTCCTTAGATAGCAGCAGCAATAATAGAAAAAAAGAACATAGCATTTAAAAATATCGATTTCTTCAATTTGCTATTTCAGTAAAACATTAAAGTGTTGCATTGGGACTAAGAATCAGTTTTTCTGGGTATGTTGGTATACCATGTAGGACAACAGACTAAGTTTGTCTTCAGTCTGAAAAAAGGAAGATGTAAGAGAATATTTCACTGTCTTTATGCTAAGCGACGGTCTTTATTCTTAGTCATGCAACATTTTTAAACTTTTGTTCATGATTCTAGATATTTCAAGGAAAAGTTTAAAACCCAAACATGGCATTATCATTTTAAATATAGTTTTACGTTGTTCAAGGAACCAATTGTTAATGTAACAAAAGGTTAAAGCCCTATCATCTGATGTTTCAACGTAATATAGAGAAGCACTGTTGCCTATCAAAATGAAAAAAAAAATTTTCAATGCATGAATTATGTAAATGTAACAACGATTAGATTAAATTATGCGATAAGGCTTTGTAAGGATAAAAAATGCATGAGGCACACGAACATGCTTATGCGTTTTAATGTTTATACAATTAATTATTAGATGACTGCCTCTTTAGCGTCAAATAAGATAAACATGTGTGGTTTTGCTCATAATTTTAAGCACAAGTTAAAAAGCAATTAACTTTGTAATATTCACATTATTTCGACTACGAACAGTTTTTATGAAAATTAAAAAGCAATCCTCGGGGAAAGTTTTAGTTCTATGGCAAATTAAAAAATAAAATGCATACGAAAAAACATTATTTCAGCTTGCGATTTTTCATCGTATCATGAGTGCATTTAAAATATGAATGACTTCACTCATCCAAACATTCCACTGAATATGAATCCTGCACTTAAATTTAAATGTTTTTTATATTCTGCAATTACTTGATGGTTTTTCATTCATTGCGCTCGATGAACATTTTGTGTGCGAGAGATTCATTCGCAAAACAATCATTTTTATTGCAAGTTGCTTCCACATTTGTGAACTTCTGTTAAAATTTTCCGGGATTTTTGAAAAATTTGTAAAAGAACAGCTCTTTTAGTTCCTTTGTTATTTCTTCTAAATTGTTTTTTGTACCTTTGTTTTTCATCAACATGATTGCTTTTGTTGAATCTTTTATTTTGTTGTCCCTTGCCTTTTTTGTGTCTTACATCAAAAAGACAAAAGATGTTTTGATGTCACTCATGCTTAAAGAGCTAATACGTTAAAACAATTATACTGGATTTTATTTATCACTACATTTAATTAATTTCATATTTACAGAATTTTTAAAATTGGATTTTGCTTAAAACTTTTTTATGTTTGATATATTTCAAACTAGCTGCAGTACAATCAAAAACATTTAAATTTTTTTCAATTTTACAGAACATTAGGTTCAAAATCCTTATAACATTAAGGCTACATAATAACAGTGTCTTATCAACACAAAATTTCATCAAGAGAACTCAAGAGGTGAGAAAAATCCATTAAAATTTATTATCATTGCCATTGCCAGTTATTTTGCATTCCCAGCGGAATCATTTTCAAAATCCGTACCAAAAGTTACATCTGTGCGGTAAAAAAAATGTTATCAATGTTTAAAAACGCCCTTCTCAGTACAACATCTACATCC